TTTTTGTACTACCGTTTGCTCCCCTCTGTAATCAAGGTTGTACATCAAGCATTATTGAAGAGAGGCAAAAAAAACCTCTGCAAGCTAGTTAGCTTGCTACCTGTCTGTTAGTAAACTTGTTAGCTCTGTTGCTAACAGGACAGAAAATTGACAGTTTATTCATTAGATGAATTTGTACCATCGACTCCTGTTTTATAAATGTCTAAATATCATGTCTTGGTGAGGGTTAAAAAAAGTTGACGATGCCACACAGCTAATAAGCTATCATGGCTTATTAGCGTAGCTTCCCTCAAAGGTCAGCACTGTCAAGATAGTTTGGTATTGATCAAAAACGGAAATCTGCCTTTCTATCAAATTTATTTCACCCCCAATACAGTCTCTGAATTAGAAAAATGTAATACTCTCTCTTATTGGTGAGGTGAAAAAAGTTCCACTGTGTAGAATTATCAATTCCTGGCAGAAGTAGACAGCCAGCGGCTTGGAGTCAGCATCATACAGGGAGCTCCAGCCTAGCCAGCTGCTGAGAGCTGCCATCCCCAGAAACAGAGACCTTGGCAGGGGACAGTGTTGAGACATACTGGGTCCCCTCCTCCAGCCTGGAGCCCTGTGAGTTCTGCTCAGTGGAGGAGAGAAGAGAGCCCAGCCCAACAGGAGGCTGTGCTTGTCAGGCCCTGAGCTTGTTGAGTGTGTACATGTCAGTGTGCTTAAGTTTGTGTGTCAGTTTGTCTGCACCAGTGCGCGCGGTGTTGTGCTTTTGTGTGCGAGCACAGCACCAACTCCAGCTGCATCGAGATTTATAATTTTACACACACATGTGCCAGTGTGAATGTGGATTCTGTCACCCACTGGGCCTCACACACATTCCAAAATAAACGGCGCCCACTGAGGATTGCTATCGATCCGTGCGGGGCACTCAGCTGCATTTGGAAAGAAAGAGAGAGAGGGAGAGAGAGAGCGTTTACAACTTCCTCTCTTGCTCTCTTTGCTTGTCTTCTGAGGAATGTTGTGTCTGCCTGTCTGCAGAAAAAGTGTGAGGGATGATTTGGAAACACAGTCCACTAAACTGTTACAATGACAAACCACTGCTAGCTGTCTTTAAAAGGGAGACAGGGAGACTCTTACACCCCCCTCTCACTTATTTTCCTTCTCTGAAGTATAGTGAAAGTCTTTTTCGTGTCAGACTTGAGGGAGAGACGGGGTGAGAAAAAAGAGACAGTGAAAAGTGGAGAAACACACATGGAGAGACAGAACAAAGAGAGGAAATAAAGCGGCTGTTTGATTGACAGCCAACACGCCTGCCTGTTTCCTGTTACACACATGATTGCCATGGCTGATGAGTTCAACTCATGTTTGACCGTTCATAAAAGACTGGCCGTGAGATCAAGATCATATGGACACACTAGACTTCCGCTAAAACCTGTGCACATCAGTGTCAAATCACAGGGTCATTGTAACACGCTGAAAATGTATAACAATTTCTCAACTAGCTAAATTCAATTACACCTGCTATTAAAATGCAGCTGTATTTGTATACAATGGATAAGGATCCACGCATATTAATGTAAGGCGTAAATGCACACAGAATGCATTGCAATTGAAATGCCATCATTTTTGCCAAACCATATCTGGAGGCGTTTGAAGGTGGTCCAGCTCACACTGTGATTGTATATCAGCCAGGTGTAAATGCATTCTGTACACTTTGGCATAGCTATAGCAGTATCTATGGCTTTGAACATTCAAAACCAAATAGAATGAAGCAATGAAAACAACTCAGCCAATGTGCTTCATCAGGACTGTGTGGGTGTAGACTGATCATTGGCAACATCAGCAGACAACCTCACAACTGCCATCAGTTCAGTCAATTCAAATGTTGCTAAATCCTGATTGGTGGCCACCTTTTTTTTCCAACTAACCCCAACCCACTTCGAGCCGGTGAGAGGAGCACAGACGAAACAAAACAGACAGAAATCTCTGATGTGAAATAACTAAAACTGTTCTAACTTTGGCAGAACATTGTTTGTTCTTGTAGGACCACATTACTCATATTAAGAAGTTGATCGACAAAATAGGTTGGTTTTTTTGGCCTCTTTTATGAAAAAGAGCTGCCCTAAAATGCGCTGTGTTGGGAGTCCACCAGGCTCATCCATATGATCCCAGGGCCCTATGTTCCCAGTTTGAATGGTAAAAATCCGTTCAGCCACCGTGGAGATATCAACGTCTAAAGTCAAGAAAACTGTATTGCTTGCTATTTTGAGGGTGTAGGTTTCAATGAGTGTAACATCAGTCGGCTATAAGCTGTAGGTGGGTGATTTCAACATATTGACCCGTGGAAACATACACTGAACATTTGACCTAGAGAAAAAACATTACTGAGAACATAAAACCTTTTGAAGGTCTCCTTTATGTGTCATATTAAGTGGCTATCGAACTGGAGAAAAGAGGACCCTGGGAACATAGATGCGCCCCCAGTCCACCAGCCATTTGGTCATCTGACACTGGAACACAGCAGCAATGAGTGTGAGGTGGTTACGTAGGTTACTCGCTACAATCAAGTTCAAACATCTCTGTGATCAATAATGGAAAAATGTATGACTGGCGTAACCTATAATCACTCTTAGGAGCAGTGTCAGACTCCTTCACACTAACAGCAAATACACGTAAAAGGTTTTAAGAGTAATGCGTAATGAATGTTTACTGTGGTTTTGATATTAATCTGCTAAATCTGCTGTCACACAGTGTCAAACACACTGGATTACACACAGTATCTGTGTTTATGTTCACTGTATTAGTCATCAATAATTGTTCATTTCACAACGGATGACTTTACACTTTAAACATACTCGATTACCTAAAGAGGCCCAATTTCTTTAGAAATCTGAACTTGATTTTCTTGTGAAGATAAAAAGATAAGCCAATTACATTTTTTGCCACTTGTTGACCCCAAAAAGCGTCACATATTTCTGAGCTTAGCCATACTACCTGAACTCTGCCTCGCTCTTGCACTACCTCTCTGTTGTCTTTCGTCTCTCTTTACTCCCCCTCTTCCTCTCCCTTTCTCTCCTCTCTTATCCCTCCTTCTCTCTCCTCTGCTGCTTTTTTTTGAGGCTCAGAGATAAGATCTCCCTCAGTAGCAAACTTTGAAAGACATCTTAAAGATCCCCTCTGTCACTTCAGCTTAATGCAGCCTTCTGGGCACACACATACGCACACGCACACACCCGGCCTCCCACTAATAACAAGGGCAGGAAGAGGCAGCCTGGATTCGAGGACTCGTAAACACACTTCTTTCTCCCATTCTCTTTGATCTTTATCAAACAAAACAGTTTCCTTGGTGTATTTTGTGTTTCCCTCGCTCATCTTGAACATGCTGCAATGCACTTTTCCTGCTTCGATTTCCCCACCCATAAATAAAATGAGAGCACATTTGGATTTCCTGACTGAGGGCTTTTAGTAGGCCGATCACTGCCAGGTCTGTCAGATCCATTAATTCAGAAGTGTGCAAGCAAGTTCTGGTTAACCGTTTCTTGAGGCAATGTGTTTACATCTCGAATTAGTCCATTTTGCATATCTCCTCACATTTGGTTTATTTTCAGCAACATGCTGGGACACCAGACATGCATTACTTATGTTTTTGAAGGGTTTAAATGGATCATCAGACCTCCTTTTTACCCCCAAACATCACTCAGCAAAACTTCCTTTTGCAAAGGCTGCACTGGGTGTTTAACTAAGAAGGAGTTCAAGCTTTCCTGCTAAGGGTTCTCACTTCCTGTGTTCACAGAAAAAAAATAATGTCCTTCAGTTTCTGGATCCCATGGTCCATAATGATCTGATCTCTGTCTCCCATAGGCGGGCCGTTGATATGGCAACGTGATGACGCTCTGAGGAAGGACGGGAGGGAGAAAAGGGAGGGAGGGTGTGGGGCGACTAGGAAGAAGGTAGCTGCACCAAAGAGTGAGTATGTTTTAGAAGATGACTCACTCGGTAAAAAAAAAAACAGTATGTGGCTTCTCTGCAGTCCTTGCTTGTGCTCCACACAGAAATGCAGTTTAGAAAATATTCTGGAAGTAGATGAGAGGGAAACTTGTGGAGGGGTGGGGGGGCAGTTATAAAGAAAGTGGTTTTAAAGGCTGCTGGTCTGAACCCTGAGTTCAGCACGGACAATGTAAAACATTTGATTTATGGTCTAAACAAATAGGTCAGACAGAGCTCAGAAGTGATCATGTGGAGACTGAGGACATGTCCCCTCCATCCTCCATCTATAATGGCTCCTACACCGTTGCATGCCTCTCTGCCTCTGCTTCTGCCCTGCTGTTGCCATAGCGACCACTTGGGTACAGACTCAAAACAACTTACTGACAAAAACCTACATTTTACTTTGGATGTTAACTGCTGTAAATGAGCCTTGGATGGCTTGAACAGCAGCTGTGTACAGCTAGTTAAAGACAATATAGCCTATAGCAAGCAGATTTGTACAGTCTGCAAATTCCTGGCTTGATGCATTTTGCAATTATGTTTGTGGCACCTGGAAAGTTACGTGCTTCCAAAGTCTAATTTTGCAGCCTGTTCTAAAAACACTAAAGCATTTTGTGCATGTTTTCCATTAATTTTCTTAGTTTGCTTAAATGTATAATGTTGCATGTGTTTGTGCATACATGGCATATTCAAAATAGACTTTGTTGAAGACAAGTATGTGTATTTGAGCTGTGGCTTAATACAACATGTTTTTGTTAATTATTGTTTTATCTTTTTTTTATATAAACAGCTTCTTACAGCTTCGTATTTTTCCCCAATTTATTACAGACATGGCTTGCGGGCGTTCGCAAAGGCGCAGTGATGCCCTATAAAAAATGGGTGAATCGCCTTTTCGAAATCATAGACGATCTTTGGCTATGCCATCCGTACACAATAGCATTCTTTCAGTGAACCTTACTAGCGTTAGGACCCAGGGCGGGCGCCGGGGGAAGTCCTCTGCCGCTGGCGGGGCAAGGCAGAGCGCAGAAACGCACACGTCCACGCACACACGCATACACAAACACACGCGTACGCACACTCACCGAGCTCTTCTCCGACAGAGGAGAGAGAGCGAGCGCAGAGAGGGATACGCAAAGGGAGAGAGAGAGACTATAGGAACGCAGTGGCTTGTGTGTGTGTGCGTGTGTGTGTGTGTAGGTACGCTCGCTCGGTGGTAGAAACGACTGGCGGGGCGGATATGGAGGGGCTCAGGAAAAACGCTGGGAACTGACCGAACACCGAGACGAAGAGAGAGAGAGAGAGAGAGAGAGGGGAAGGACGGACGGACAGCACGGAAGGAAGGAAGGAAGGAAGGAAAGGAGGAGAGAGAGAGAAGTCTGACAGAGGAGAGGAAGACTGTGAAGAAGGGGCTCGTCTGGAACACAGAAGGATCCTAAGGTGACTTTATGGGGCTTTCATGGCTGTATGCAGGTCTGGCAGAGGTGTGTGTGTATGTGTGTTGACATGTGCTGCATGGGTCTGCACTTAAAGGGAAGAGTGGAGGTGTGTGTGGTGGGGGGGTGGGGGCACGACGTTTGTGCGTGTATGTGTGTGTGTAGCCTATATTTACATTTGTGTGTCATTTGTGTGTGTGTGTGTGTGTGTGTGTGTGTGTGTGTGTGTGTGTGTGTGTGTCTGAGAGTTTTTTAGGGTTGTTTTTCCACAAGCTAAAAAGGGGGGCAAAGTGTGTAAGCGAGCTGAGCTGACCGCTATAAACTGGAGTGAAGGGATCAAAAGGAGTGGATACTTTTTAGGGAACAACGTGATCCCATTCCAACACACACACACACACACACACTTCTCAGGTAGGCTACTTTAAGTTGAGCCAGAGAAAAGGAGAGGATAACACTGTCTTTTAAGAGGAAATTCTTACCTCCCCTTACTCTGTGTGTGTGTGTGTGTGTGTGTGTGTGTGTGTGTGTGTGTGCGTGTGTGAGCAGAGTTTTCAGTGCAGCAGGTAACACGGGCAGTCTTGGGTTGGAGGTTTTTCAAAAGCAGCACAGCCACAGAACGAATCTCCTGTTTTCCTGAAAGCTTGGTTGACACTGACTGAGGCTTCTTAAGGAGTACCAGCTTCTTGCGTGTGTGGATATATGTGTGTGGATATATGTGTGTGTGTGTGTGTGTCTGTGTGCTATAGATGGCAAACAGGTTGAGGGAGGCAGATCTGATCAGACGCACAGCAACAGAGGAGAGAGCGTGGCACAGGCTGAGCAGCAGCACATTGGATTACACACAGATGAATACACACATGCGCACGCACACACACACACACAAGCTCTGTGGCCAGCAGAACAGCTGGGAGAACTATGTGTGTGTGTGTGTGTGTGTCAGTGCCTGAGAGCATTTCACTTAATGCGTGCGTCTGCCTTTGCACGTGCAGGACTGTTTGCGTTTGTATTATCCTTTGCTTCTGTGTGTGTGTTTCTGCGTGATGGTGTGTGTGTACCCATCAGAGGCTGTGTAAATATGTATGTGCTGGGAAAGAATATTCTGTCATCTCTTCAGACAGACGGCGTGTGTGTCTACCCCCCCCAGCTCATGGAGGCAGGAGGTGCAGAGGAGGGTTGACCGGGGTGGGGGGGCTGGAGGGAGGAAAAGTGATCAGATGACCGGGAGTAGGGCAGATGAGAAGATTAATCCAGTAGCGAGAGATGAAAACAGAGACAGAGAGGAAGGAAGGGATGATTTTAGGACAGGAGGAGGAGGACAAATGGAAAGAAAGCGTGGAGGAGATGGAGTGAAGGGGACGGGGGCTGACACGCTCTCTCCAGGAGTGCTCAGAGTGCTGCTCATTCATAATTCACCTCCATGGCAAACGTTCATTCACATATTGACCCCCCATGGCTGTGCTCAGTGGAGTTCTCGACCCTCCGCCTCTCGCTGTCTCTCAATGGACACCCCTGTGGCGCGACGTTCAGTTAGCCCGCTTCTTTTTCACTTTGGAGACAGTCGAGATTCTCGGAGAAAAAGGAAGCACCGTTTGTTCGTCCGTTATGCCTCTTTTGACGCCATTACTTTTTCAGTTGGAAGCTCTGATGTCAAATTGAGTTGTGTAAATTGAATATTGAATTCACACTCCAACCTAGACACAGATAATTGGTATGGATGGATCAGTGGGTTAGTGCTCTCAGTACAACTGTTGTTGGTCTGATTCCCTTAGCACAGCTAAAACAGTCCATAATGGATCTATAATGCATGTGTGAATGAATTGAATAGCCTGTGTTTTGAATAAAAGCATCAGACAGTTTTCTTGGATGCCAGCGCATGATTTATTCAGCATAAATACTCAAAAATGGCTGTTTTAATATTTCTGATTGCATTAGCCGTGCCTGGAGCTACACTACAACCCACCGCTGCGCTCTGGTCAACTGTGGCCCATGAGCCATATGGCAGAGTGTCTAAAATGCACAGTCAGAAAAAAAAAGTGTACTGCGGAGGTACATTTATTTCTTAAAGGTGAACACTACAGAAGTGTACCTTATCAGCAAAAGTGATAAAAATATCCTGACTTCTTCAGTTCTGTAGGTATGATGGACTTGGATCGTGTTTACTCAGGGAAAAAGAAGACAGCGAGGGTACAGTGTTGACATTGTGTCTTGGCGTGTCACTGCTGAAAGGTGCACTTTTGTTGTGCAGTCATATAGTACAGTGAGTTTTCCCGAAGCTGCAGTAATGTAAAGATGCAGCCCCTGTGATCCATAGCAAGAGTGAGGCACTTCTGTCTCAGTACAGTACATCATGGTATCGTTCAAACTAGGGATGAGCGAGTACACCAATATCTGTATCTGTTCAACAAATGAAATGATCTGTGTGTACTGTATATCCGTATACTCGGAGTGGGCAGGCTTAATCTGGACAACGGCGGTACTAGCCAGAAGTTAGTTGTTTAAGCCTGAAATTGGTATCGGTTGATCAAAAGTTGCTGTATTTATCAGAAAACTTTTACTAAACAGAACAGCCTCAATATGTATGATTACAATAGTAAGATTTTTTTTTTAAAGGTTCCTATATTTATAGTTTTTTGAGAAAACAGATATTGACACATTTTCCTCTGATGAGAACTCTTGTTAAAAGTACCGGAGACTTGTTTCAACTGAATAGCCTACTCGTCCAACCTTGGCTCACATCCTCCAAAAGAATTGTGTTCATTAGCCTTGCCCATTGTTAGACTTTGTAACTTTCCCTGACAAATTCATAAAATGTAGTAAAACTTAGTAATCATCCTTCAGTGTTTCTTTGCTCTTTCAACTCTATCTAGTTTTGACATAGCTGTAAATTATCACTCTGATTCAAATGTTAAAACCCTCATGATGATGAGAGAAACAAACTAAATAAAGACATGTAGCAACCCGAACTCCCTCCAAAATATGACATTATACCCTTCATGGATATTCATGCAAACATAACTAATAATTAATCAGATTTTGAAAACCACATTATTTATCCCTTCAATATTAAATACTATCCAGTTTCAGTTGAATTGTAACAGAATGTTTTGTTTGTCTCGTCTTTCGCCCACCAAAATGTCGTCCACCAACTCTGTTGGCTGGGGAAATAGAAGATAATCAAGACGGCACAGCTTAATGCCATTTTGTGAAAAGACAGCAAATTTAGTTTTTAATAATCAATAGCGTAGTCTGTTAGACTGAATTCTTGTTTTGTTTCACTTCGTTCATGTTAGCCAACCAATAAGTTGTGAGTGTTGACACAGAATGTTACAGTTGTGGTTGCTAGTAGTTAACTTAGTGTTTTTGAAGACTATCTGATAAGCCGGTTTAAGAGCTGTTATTTCGTTAAGTTGATTAACAACAACCTGTCCAGCTGCGCCATGGCATCTACGCTTGCAGCCATTTGCCATCGCTTTTTTTCATGGATGTAGCAACGTAGCTGGCTAGCCATGTAGGAAAAGTACGTCCGCATTCTTAATCCTGACGACTGGTTGACTGCACAACACCAGACCTAGGGAATGGCTGAACAAATCAGAGATGTGATTCAGTGGTCTGGAACCATGCTACATAGTGGTCATTCAGCAGAAAACATGCTAGCAGATTAGCTTGTAAACAGCAAGGGGGTAAGCCACAGTTGAAACAGTGAAGCCGACCAAAGCCTGCGTGGATGGTTCCATGTAGGCCCAAAAATGACATCAAAGAAGATGTAATCATATTGCTTGGATTATAAACTCTCAGTGAATAAAGTAAAAAAACTATTCGGCCATCAGTGACGCTGCATTGGTGTTTGACAGGTGAGCCTCATAGGTGGGCTGATAGAACAGTGACAATCCGAGTCAGACAAACACACTGAGACAAGAAACTTTTTGTTTGTGCATCTATGCCGCTACCAGAATTATGGTGTTTCTGCCGTTGCTCTATGTCATTAAACCACAGTTATGCTGCGCGATCATGCACAGTTGGCACTGGTGCCAACAGGAAGTGGCCCTGTAGAAGTATTTTTTTGGTCCAAAACTGGCTTCACTGCTCTGCCCCGCTGGTTTGAATGGAGTAATATACTGTCTATGGTAAACAGTAGTACTTGCTTGGCCACCCCATTTGACCCTCACCTGGTAATAGTCTCTCCCCTGAGCAAGAGGTGTAGGTAATTAGTTAGAAATGAACGAAGGACATTAATGTTTTATGTTATTACTCACTAGGCGTTCAGTACGCCCCCCTAAAATGTTTTTAATCATCTATGAAATTTCTCTAAACAGCTAATGCATCTTAACCCATGTGTTTTGTAGCAATACAGTTGCATTATGGGCCCAAAATGTCCAATATTTAACCCCTCATTTGAGGAACCAACAACGCCCTGTAAAATCCCCTCATTGTTCCCCAGCTCACTATCTACATTTTGAAAGTCAACAGTTCCTAGTTACTTACACCAGCTCTGATGGAAAGTGTCATTTGATTCACTCCAAAATAAAGCATCATCACTGAGGCAAATGTACATGACAATAAAGTAAATATATGACTTTTGGATCCACACTGTAATTGGTTCACTAGTTAACTGCACAGGAGAAACTTTATGAGACTTTATTTCAAAATGTATTTGTTTGGTTTCCATACAGTTTTTTAAAAAGATATATGAATGATTAGCTAATGAGTTTGTCGTTCATTTTTTGGTAGGTGACCTGTGCCTTTCATGTACTTGTTCATGTGTCAGAACAAGTGGAAAGTTAAAAGCACGGTTTTAAATCTCAGTGGAAACACAGCCAGGCTAAGCGGCCAAGATGACTTGGAAGAATAATGCTCCGCTGTATCCCTCAGGTTATAATTGTCTCCAATAGGCCTCCTGCTGATTTGAAATGGACTCATTGTCCACTATGATGGGCACCTCTGATCAATTAGCCTCTCTTCTTAGTCGTGCTGAGCTACTGCTGGTCGCGTCCTCACACGGTGGCA